ATGATTATAAAATGCTAGTATAAAAGATAATTAATAATAGTAATGAGAAATTTATAGGTACAGTAAATTAGTAAAAATAATCAATAATAATAAAAAGTAAAAACGAAAGTAAGAATATAAATAAGAATAAGAAACTAATAATAGTAAAGTCAATAAATAAAATAGTAGTAATATAAAGAAATTAGTTAGAGAAGTTATTGATTTAAAGTAGCTAAGATAGTCAGTTTATTAAAAAAATAGTTTAATTATTCTTTACATAATTATTAAAACGGTTCTTTTGTAAACACATTCTTTATATTTTCTTTACTTATATTAACATTATTTTTGATCATGTTGAAACTTTTAGCTTTTATGATTTTTTCATAATAATATAAGAATATCTTAACTTATAAGTATTATATAAGCTATATATAATTATAAGTTATCAAAAATATATTTAAAAAGAAAAAACTAAGAAAAATAATCTCTGTATTGTGATACTTATATCTTATATTCAGTTGGATTATAGTATTATTTAAGATTAAAAGTTTTCATTATAAATTTATACATCATATTATCAAAAAATAAAATTTATTTTTAAAAAAGTCAAATTTTATTTTTCTTATAGAAAATTTATTAGTTAAGTAATTTTTTCTATTATATATTTTTAAATGATTTAGTTATTTTTTAATTATTTTAATATAAAATTATTTTAATTTTATATAAATATTTTTTAATTTTATTTATTATTTAAATTATCAAGGTATTTTTCTTAATAAAAAATTTAAATATATTTTTTAATTTTCTTAAAAAAATAGAAATTTTATTTAAAAGAAAAAAATTAAAAAAACTTTTTTAAGTAAAATCAAAAATAAATAATAATTTAAATGTAAATCTTAATTTATTTAACTTAAATACAAACTTAAAACTAAAAATAATGAATAAAAACAGATTTTTAATAAAGATCTTATTGAAATATATCTTATAACTTTAAAATATAGTTTAGAATAAGCAAAATAAATTTTAAATTATATAAAAATATGTTAAATATTCTAAAAAAATTATTATAATCATTATCAAAATTATCATTACCATTAATTTCTTCAAATTTACAATCATAATTATTATTAAATTATTCCTATTTCTATTTTTTTCCATTTTTCATTACCTTTCAATTTCTTATCACCTTCATCACTATCATTATCATTAATATTAACGATGATAAAAAAAGTAGCAATAGTAATAATAACAATAATAGTATTACAACTTTTACAACATTTATAATAATCATCATTACTCTTATTATTATCACAATAATATTTAACCAATCAATAAGATAAATAATAATATTATTATAATTTTTAATTATTTTTAATTTTTTTAAAATTATTATAA